AATTTCTAGAAGAACTAAAGCAAGAGTTTAAAAAAAATACACACAATTAAAATGATTTTATAAATAAAATAAGAGCGCTAAACAAAACAATCAGGGCTAGGACAAAAAAAAACCTGGAGAACTGAGAACTATGGAAGACAGAATAGGAAAGAGAATTAACAGTTTTGCTTAAGAAGTATAAACCTTAACCAAGTAAAGGACATAACCTTGAAAATTAGAATATTAGAAGCTAATGAATCAATGAGACAAGAAATACTGAACAAAGTTAAAAGAATGAAAAAACAGAAGAAAAGTGTAAGGTATCAGAAAAAACTGATCTGGAAAACAGATCAAGGAGAGACCATTTAAGAATCATTGGAATACTGAAAAGTCACAACCAACAAAAAAGCCTCAATATTCTATTTCAAGAAATTATACAAGAATACTGACCAGATCTCTTAGAACCAGAGGACAAAGTAAAAATACAAAGAATCCACCAATTACCTCCTGAAAGAAACCCCAAAATGAAAACTCTCAGGAACACTGTAACCAAATTCAGAGTTTCCAGATCAAAGAAAAAATACTGCAAGCAGCCAGAAAGAAAGAATTCAAGTACCAAGAAGCCACAGTCAGGATCACATAAGATTTAGCAGTCACTACCATAAAGAAGAGGAGACCTTGGAATGCAATATGCCAGAAGGCAAAGAATATATAGGCTTACAACCAAGAATAACTTACCTAGCAAAGCCAAGTATAATCCTACAGGGGAAAAATGGATCTTTAATGAAATAGAGGACTTCCAATCATTCCTGACGAAAAGACCAGAACTGCGCAGATACTCTGAAGAGCAAAACACAGGAGTCAAGAGAAAAATAAAAAGGTAAACATGAGCAAACAAGTCATAAAGGATTAAACAAGATAAACTGTTCATATTCTAATAGGGATCGTGATATGTACCCCCTCAGAACTCTTATCATCACCAGGGGTCACAGAGAGAGACATCGGGCTTGGGAGTGACTTCATTATGTCTTGATGATCTTAAAAAAAGAATCAGAAGGGAGGGGACAGTGAAAGGGAAAGATGAGGAAGATTATGGAAAATTATCTCACATAATCAGGGTACCTAAGTAGAAGTCTTTAGGAAGAAGGAGGAAAGAGTTTGTAGAGTGGGGAGGTCAAAGGAAAGAACACCTACACATAGGTGAGTAAAGAAATATATTTTTTGGGTGAGGGGGGAGAAAAAAAAGGCAAAAAGAAAAAAAGAAACGTACATAACTATTGTACATGGTAGATCTGCAGTTTCATGTACCGCCAGTGTGCATTATTATGTAATGCAGAGAATAAAACAGGAAGTCAATAAGCCATCTGTTTATGTCTAGAATGTCTGTTGAACCATTTGCCATACTTTACTCTGCCTCAGTCCACACATGCTTTAAAACTCAAATGCTTTAAATGCTCATGAAGGTTCCCTTGATGCCCCCAAGAGGTAATAATACACTCCTTTCTGTCTCTTTTATGCATTAATTATTTTATATTACATTTACTTGTATATGTATCCTATTTTCTAATATATTATTGGCTCTGTGGTGACAGAATCCATGTATCATATTTAAACTTTATATCACCTCCTATCCAACCTGACACAGTACACCACACAGCAGAAGGTACTGATTTTGCGGCTGAAATAGGGTTAGGCTTCAAGAAGTTCCAATGCTTCAAATATTTGTGATTTTGTCAGTGTAGAGTCCGGACTCCCTCCATGGAAAGAAGACTGCAACTCTACATGATTTAGTGGATGATCTGTGTGAATTGATGTGTCTGAAAAATTCATTATCAGATGGCTAACCTAGTTAATAAGCCCCTCCAGTATTTTGATCATTTAAAAATGCATTGTCACATATTTTACAATAAAATTCAATCACAACATCTTGAGATATATATATATATCCTTGACGAAATTAAGTGATGTTTTTCTTTTCCTTCCTCCTCCTCCACCCTACACACAAAGGATTATTCCCCAAATTAACCCTATAAAAGTTCCAGGGCATTTTATTTTGCCCTAAGATTATGAGACTTCTGGGAAATAGTCTTTTTAAATGAAGAACCAATAAACTTGTATACAGGTGGTCAAAAAGTGGTGAGGAGATGGCCACTGAATAAAGCTTGCAGCCAAAACCTAAGTCCACTACTCTTTCCAGCAGATCAGGTTTTGTCACTAGACTATTAAATTCAACAAACATTCACTAAACACCTACTGTGGCACAAACCACTAATCTAAATGCTGCATTTAAAGGCATAAATAAATGGATGAATGAATGAAAGAAAAAACAAAAAAAAGGTCCCTGAAGTTAAGACTCTTACATTTTGCTAAAACAAAATGCAGGTAAATATAATGAAGCAAGCATGGCCTCCTACATGGACACAGAGCTGTCCCCTTATAGCCACAGAGATAAGGGCCTAAGTCCTACCTCTGTTCTAGGCAAACCTCTAAGACCAAAAGTTGCAGAGAAATTGCTGACTTGCAGTGGTAGAGGGAGTTTCCTTTCCTGGACCACCTTTATGCCAAGGAAATCACAGGTTTCACTCCTATCCCTACAAGCAAATACAAAGTATTTGTAATAATTTGGGGGTAGAGAGCACTACCAACTGGGGGGGGGCGCATCTGAGTGTGTCAAAAGAAGCCTGTATAGGAAGTGGTCCTTGCACTGAACTATGAAGGTGAACTTCAGATTCCAAAAGGTAGAAGTGAGGGAAAAACATTGTGACTCAAGGGGACAGGCATGGAGACATGAGCTAGATTACTGTTGTGTATGGGAAACAGTGTTAGCCCATTTTAGCTGAAATATATAAATAAGTAAGGTAAATTAAATCTGGAGGTGGAAGCCACATAGTGAAGGGATTTAAATGCCAAACGGAGGGGTTTGTATTTTATCTTATATGCCACTGAGGCTTCTTGTGCAGAGGAGTGATGTGGTGCTTCAGGAATATTGAGTCTGCAATAGTGCAAGTGAGAAGTGATGAAGTGAAGAGAAGGGGGTGAACTTAAGACTTGCTAGGGAAGTAGAATCAACAAGACTTGGTAAATTATTGGATATTAGGAGGAAGGGAAGGAAGGACTGGTGATAGTATACAACAGCGGGGAGTCAAGGATGACTCAGGTTGTGAACCAAGGTGACTGGAAGAATGGTGGGCCCTTGATAGATAGATATGAGAATGCAGATGTGTTTCAAGGGAAAGATGAACAATTGTTTCGATTACGTTGAGTTTGATATGGCTATGGGATATCCACGCAGAAATGTCCAGAAAGAAATTGGTAACCGGGCCTGCAGCTACAGAGAAATGGACAACTAGCACAAATACCTTTCCCTCTTGTTTTGGAGGCATCCTGTCAGCGACAGCCTGATGGAAAAGGGCTTCCCAAGAGCTAGAGCCTTAACCATGAATTTTGGAAAGTAAGCCACAAAACCCTCAAATCAGCTTTTAAATCTCATTCAGTTGAAAAAAAATTTAAAAAACAATCTCATTCAGTTGGTGACTGGAAACGAAAAAAGCACGTCAGGATTCGTGCACAGGGTTGGGGAGTAAAGAGGGAGAGGGCACAGAAGATCAAACTGGGTCTGGAAGTCGCTCACCCGAGGAAGCAACACGACAGATTTCCATTTTAAACGATTCTTGTTAACTAGCCGCTATTGTTTCCATGGCGCGAAGAAGGAACTGCCAGCACTCTAAATTTCAGTGCCCTCTGGCAAAAGCCTGGAGTGCTCGGTTCTAGTAACAGGCTCAGCCTAGAGGAGGGAGAAGGGTCCCCTTTACGAATCAAAATACAAGGATTCCGGGGTGCACTAGTTGCAGAGAATGTCTCACACTTTTGCCTGGGGTTGGTGTGCAAAACGGGGCTGAACAGCTAGACCCTCCACCCCTCTCCTCAAAGTCCCCGGTCCCTCCGCCCTTCAAATCACCTCCAAGTTTCAGGTAACCTCCCGGATGCGAAGGCAGAAAGTGTGCCTGAAAAACCAGCACTCGCACTCCTAAACTACACCCGGAGAAACCACTCCCCCGCGAATTCCACGAGACCTTCCCTCCTCCATCAGGTGGGTGGTCTGGGGAGCCCCGCGCCAGGAGCCACGGAGGGTCCTCTGCTCCAGGAAGTCGGCGTGGGCGGGCGGAAGGGTGAGGGGAGTTGGTGGCCACTGCGCCTGCTCCTCTTCTCCCGGGCGCGCACCACCCAACGCGACGCCGGAACAGCAGCAGCAGCAGCAGCAGAGTGGCTCGCACTTCCCCCTCTTCTCCCCCTCCCTTGCCTGTCCCTCACCTGAGGCCTGGCCTGGTAGGCACGGAGGCAGCGGCGGAGCCTCCGGGCTGCTCCTCGGCTTGGCTGGTACATGGTTTTCGGGAGTGAGGAGGGTGTCTCCCGAACCCAGCGTCCAGTATCGTCCACGCAGGAGTGCGCTCTCCCTGAAGCCGGCTTCGTGAAGGGGAAGGGGGGAGGGGGGAAGGTGAGGAGAGGAAAGGAAACGGAGACCACGCGCCTGCGCACTATAGATTCCAGAGGTAGCGGGCAGCGAGACTACAGGAAGAGCGCCTGCGCTCAGAGAGGAAAAAAAGTGGGATTTGGATCGTACAGCGCTTGCGCGAAAGGCAAAGCGGGAGGGGGTGGCCCACGGGCGCAAGCCGCTGTGGAAAGTGCACATGCGTGTTTGGTAGAGGAACACGTTCCCAGCCACAGGTTAGGAGCGGAGGAGAAAATGCAAGCAGAAATGTCAAAATAAAGGGGAAATAATGAGACGTTGCAAAAGGCAGGGCTGGGATCGGAGATGCCAGACTTGGTAGAGATGTTGGACCGCGTGAATGTAGGAGACTAGACTTGTTTCCCATTCATTTTACAGGTGAGAACACCAATGTTGAGAAAGTGAAAGTAACCTGCCAAAAGTCACCAAAAGGCAAAAAATAACAGGGACAGGGCCTGAACCGCCTCCAGACCCCAAAGCTTTTCTTTCCAACACAACACACTGAAATCCAGGCTCCTGACCACCAGCCTTTAATATTAAAAATAAGTAAAATCCTGTTTAAAAATGAAACACAATTTGGGCACATAAGACAAGTGGATGGGAAAAAGGAAGATGCTCAACTCCGACCGACCAACAGATGTCCCCGAGGGCGGGGCTCATTATTTCTCCACTGGGTGGAGCCAAAGTCTCCAGGCGAGGGGATCACCCTGAGAAGGATGACATGAGGGCCCAGGTCACCATGGCCTGGTACTTCGGTGCTCCTGGAGGTATCGAATGAACCTTGCGTTGACCATGGACTCCCCCAGTCTCCATAACGGGACTGGAGGCTGCAGGGCCTGTGGAGGGGCGGAGGACCTGGTTCCCTCCCCATCTTGCTCCCCTGACACAACCTGCTGCCCCCTGTTGGTACACCTGTTAAGGTGGGATGGAGAGGAGATTAAAGTATTATGGGGATGCTCCTGAGAAATTTAGGGGGCGAATCCTTGTAAGTGTTAAGAAGAATTAAGGAGTTATTGAGAAGACAAAAGTTAAAAGGAAGTTTCTAAGATGTTAAAAGGGAAGAGAGCAACTGATGATGTTATGTGAGATCAGGAGAAAGAGTTTAGAAAGTTAGAAGATGGGAAAAGGAGAGTTAGAGGCATATATTTAGGGATAGTATGAAGATGCAAGTCAGACCTCACCTACTCTCCATTTCTTGTTCCCTCTTCCTCTGTTCTTGGTTGCCTGTGGAAACAGGGTGTGTGTGTGTGTGTGTGTGTGTGTGTGTGTGTGTGTGTGTGTAAAGAGAAAGGGAGTGAGTATAATGTATATAGCTTTAAACTGGGAGGGAGGGAGAGTGGCAAGGATAAAAAAGAATGTTAGAGCTGAAAAAGGCCTTATAAATTATATAAGGTAACTGCTAGAAAATTCTAGGGATTCAGCCAGTAGAAGATGTACAGATCCCAGAGGTAGGCAGATTTTGGACGGTTAACAGTTGTAGAAGCAGTGATCCAGAACCAGAACGGCCTTAAAGGCCACATAATCTAACCCCCTCATTTTACAGATGAGGAAATTTGGGCCTAGGCAAGAGACCCACCTAAAGGAAATTTATTAGGGAAGTGATCCACCTAAAATCACACATAGTAACAGTCACAGAGGTAGGATTCAAATCTAGGTCCTCCAACTTCAAATCTAGTCTCTTTCCACTGTACTACAAGGAAAGGCAGAAGTAAAATGACTTGCAGAAAATCATGACTAAATCTAGAACACACATCTACACAGATCTCTTGATTTCTAAACCAAGATTTCCCACAATGCCTTGCACTTACCTGTCTGGGGGGATGAGGAGTCTGGCTCCCCATATCGACTGTAGCTGCAGTCCTGTGCCACCAGTCCTGGGGCTGATCCCCTGTAGAAGAAATGGGCTATGGGGGAGGTAACAGGAAAAGGGCTGAAGGATGGAAAAAATGGAGAGAGTAGCAATGGAAACTGAGGGAATGTGTGGAAAGAAGACAAGGGAAACCAAGAGAAGGCAACCTGGTAATGATCATTTCTGAGCTTGTGGGAGATTAAGTTTGTTACTCCTTAGAGTAATCTATGGAAATGTTGAAATGAAAAGGGCTGGAATATAGGATGTCTTGGAATGGAGGAAGGCAAGTGGATAGAGGGCTAAATCAGGAGGGGGAAAGGTCCATGGGATATAGAAAGCATCACAAGATTGTGGACTGAAAACTAGGAGATTCTCAAATCAGGGATATGTAAAAAGATATCCAAGGAGTCAGTGTGGTGACAAGTCTGAATATGGGGATAACTAAGGATGAGGAGGGAGAAGGCCTGCAGTTGTTAGAATCACAGGGTAGTCCACATGTGGAGATGAGTGCCTAGACATCTAATGATTATGTGAGGGAAGATGTGCAGATCCAAGAATATCAAAGATGGAGGGAAGGAAATGGAATCCTAGACACTGAAACTCTGGTGCTTCAGCCAGTGGAAGATGTATAGATCCCAAAGAAGCAGAGGCAGTGACAAAAGGATCTCAGGTGGAGAGATCCTAAAATCCCCAGGGCAAAAGACGGCAGAATAAATGAGACTTTGTTTTGTTTTGTTTTTCCCATTGAAAAATGTCTATTAGAAAACACACAAAAGGATGCACACTTTATTGAGACAACATTGGGGTTGGGGAGAATCCTGCTCCCCAGGGGTTAGGGACACACTGTAATCTACCACACAAAGGATGTGAGAGAGGGGAGGGTTATATACCCTTCCAGGATATGTGATTATACCCTGAGGGCCTGGAAACAGAGGGAGGAGATTCCTAGCTCAGCAGAAGGGAAGAAAGGAAAGCTAGAGGATAAATAGGTTGGGTGAGGAAGCGACACAAGTTGGGAAAGGAGTGGTACACACTCATCTCAAGACAATCTGAGAGAACAAGCACACACCATCATCTAACTAGTTGTGTGGGAGGAATGGAAGAGGGAATACTAGGATCCAGTAGATCCTTGAGACACAGGTTTATTTCTTTGTATACGAGTAGAAGTAACCCCAAGATAGATCCTCTCAGAGGATGCTGTTAAAGTGGTAGTAGTGGTGATTTCCCTGTGGAAATCCCAACAGGGCCATAATCCAGGTTTTAGAACAGGTCCTATACACAGATAAGTATTGAGGAGCCCTGATACAACCCCAAATGGCTCTCTCCACACTATCTTTTGGGATTCAAGAGCTTTGCAATGTTGAGTGGCTCCCTTTGGAAATCAGGTTAATTTCTGAAGGATCTGTTACCTTAAAAAAAGGGAGCATGACTCCTTGGGGTGGTGTTTTGGAGGGGAAGGGAGTTTGGAGGCCAAAGGAGTGGAATAATAGTAATCTAAGGGGAAATCCAGCTCCAATGAATGTTGCACAGGAAACAAGGGAACTAGGCCAACTATACCTATTTCTGGGACAAGGATCCTTCAAGGATGTGGTAGAGGAGGGCAAGGTCTACTGGTTATTCTAGAATACAGACCTGGCATCTGTGAAGTGAGTTTTAAAAACTATCTTGTAACTGTATTTTATCATATTTGCCACTGTAATCCTATTATTTTATTTTGTGTATTCAAAAAAAATTATTCTGAGAAGGGGTCCATAGGTTTCACCAGACTGCCAGAGGGTCCCATGACACAGAAAAAGTTAAGAACCCCTGTTAACCTGGCAGGATCCTGGGTAGGTTTCAGTGTATTAACTAACTAATCCAACAGAGCTTCCATCTATTGGTTAGGCAAAGTGTTCAGAACTCAATTAGAGAATAAGAAGAAGGGGTTACTCTTGGGATAATAAAAAAGGGATGGGAATAGAATGTTATTCTGCTGCTGGATTAACCTAGCAAGGGGTTAGGAGACTTGATTCTAAGTGTTAGGGCTCCAGTGCATCCTGGAAGATTAAATGAGAAAATGGATCCTTTCAGAATTAGGTGGTCTTAAGTGGGGAGGAATAACTATCAATATCTGTTATTTTCAGGTCGGGTGAGGGAACTGTGGAAGATATGGGGGGACAGGATGAAGGGAGAGGAAATGAGAAAAGAGAGAAACAGAGAATCAGAGATAAGACAGCCAAGGATAGAAATTAAAGAGATACCCCCTCCCCTACCTGTAGGCAAGTACCATCAGTATGCAAGGGGGAAGGGGGTAAAATGGGTACCATTTTCTCATCAACATCCTAAGTGAAGATTCTACAATTTACTGCTTAGTGCCATTCTACCAAAACAAATCCTAGACATATTATTTACCTCTCTTCATGCTTATGATTTTAAAACTGTGCTTGCTTTTGAGAATGCATACTTTCTCCTCCCTTTCCCTGCCAAAGCAAACTATTCTTGGGATCCATAAGGTCTTTGCCATTTCTTCCCTTCCGACAAGTCATATCCAACACTGTATACTCCATTCTGTCACTTTCCAGGTTGCCCCCTTTTGATTCTAACACTGTAACATCTCTTCTGACAGTTTCAAATCTCTTCCCAACTCTACCCCCATGCCAAGGTCTTAATTACCTGGTACGCCTGCGTTGGGCTGGGCTGCCTCCAGGGTCAGTTGCAAGCAGCAGGCGGGCAGTAGGGTGTGGGGGGCAGAGCCGAAGAGACCGAAGCAGCTCTTGCTCTGGCAGAAAGGGGCGGAGGGGACCTCGGTCTGGAGAACTGCCCAGGCTGCTGGACCGTGGGGGTGGTCGGGCTGGAGGTGTGGCACGTCGGGGGGCTCTGTTCAAGGGCCATGGAGGCTCTACAGCCACCTTCAGAACTAAAGAAGAGACAGAGACAAAGAAGAAGAAAAGATGGGAAGAGAGCAAAAGAGAGAAAAGAGAGAGGGTATGTGATGCTGTAGAGAAGAGACAGGAAAATATCAGACCCTAAGTGGGAATTGACATTCCTCCTTTTTTTGGCTAGGCAATGGGGTTAAGTGACTTGCCCAGGGTCACAGAGCTAGAAAGTGTTATGTGTCTGAGGCCAGATTTGAACTCAGCTCCTCCTAAATCCAGGGCCGGTGCTCTATCCACTGCAACACCTAGCTGCTCCCCTTCTTTGTTTTGAACCCCTCATCCCTGGCCCCTGCCCTGCCCTCACCCCTGACCCGCTTACATTCTCGGTCACTAGAAGAATATGGTTTAATCTCTCCTTCTGCCTTCTTGGGGGGCAGCTTTCTGGCTGGAGCTGGAGGGAGAGAGGATATGAGCAGAATGAGCACTAGGGAACAGATCTTTTCTCAACAGCTCCCCACTTCCCTTCACTGGGGAAAAAAAAAAACACCACTCCCTGATGTCACGGTTCCTCTATTTGCTGTTAGGATGCTGAGTCAACCTCCACCCCTAGAATCAGCTTCATGAAGTATCTACAAATTGACAGGGATACCCAAGGATACTGGAACAGTTGGGAGGTGAACAGAAGGGAATATTCCAAGCAAGGAGTCAGGGGAGAGAAATCAGAAAGGAGAATTTTGGGAGATGCAGGAAGGACATAGCCACTGAAGCAGAGGGGTGGAGCTTCTTACTGGTCAGAGGGTGGTGTCAGGCACCCTTGAGAATCTGGGGCAGTAGTATGGTTCCGGCCTGGGCAGTAAGGACCTTGGGTCCCTCTAGATGAGATGGACAAAGTCCGTGGTTAATCAGGAGTTAGTCTGAAGGGGCTGGGGAGGCCAGAGAATAACCTCTCTGTTTTGGCCACAGGTGAAGAAGAGATTTAAGTAGAAAGAGGAATGTGAAGCAAAGACTACAAAGTAAAGGACTAGGAACATACAAAAGAAGGAGCATGAGAGAAAAGTCACAATCAGATGACCACAGATTGGCCTCACCTCTTCGCTTGCTCCCTCTGAGCCTCTCATCTGAAGAAAGTCAACTCACATTATTTGTGGCAAATCACTTTCAATCTTTTCTTGACTTTACTACCTCTTCAGCTGACAATTTAAGCCCCTCAATATTATTGACTTTTGGTATTGACATGATCACCAGCTCTGCTGACTTTCACTCTCTTATACAGTCTGCAGCCTACAGCCCTGAAAGAGCTAGAAGGGAAAGCCTTAGAAATCAAACTGGTTACTTCCTTGTATCCAGTAAGGAAAAGTGTGAGACAATCAAAAAGCAAACTGAAAAACTGATCAATCAGGCTGGGACTGTGCAACTAACTGAGAGTTTCAGCATTCCATGTGTGATATCTAAGGGGATTAGGATTTTGCAGACAGGATGGCAAAGGTTTCTAACTAGTCTCTGCCAAGTGGCTTCACTGTCAGAGTTGTTTTAACTTTCACAAATTATGAGGGCACCTTAAATCATCCTATAATATAAAAGCGTGTTCCAACTGAAGATGGAAAAGTGGCACAGTTGACTCCTCATAACCCAAGGGAAAGGTAAAAGCCTTCTAAGAAATCTGCTCAAAAAATATTGCCTTCAAGTACTATATACCATCAATAATCAAACCAGAGTGTTTAATTAAAAATCATGCCTGAAACAGAACTTGTCATATTCCCAGATATCAAAGGTAATCATCTAAATGACTCTTGGAACCCTGAATGGCTTTCTTTCCCATTCTTCATAGCTATCCCATCATAGCTGCCTCTAAAATGATGTTCAACCTCTAAACCACCGTTCAGATTTACCATTGGGTGTGTTATCAACCGAGGCAGCACGAGAGCAGCGAGTCGCCCTCAGAGAGGAAGCAGGGGACCCTGTGGGAAAGGAAGTGGGGGTTCCCTCAGTCAAGGGAAGGGGGCAATGGGACAAATGGACCTACCCTTTACCCCCAACTCTAGGACTGAGGAGGGAGAGGAAGACTCACGGTGCTGGTGGGCGAAAAAGCCTTCAAAGATCACAAAGTTGTTCACCTGCGTGTTGGAATGAGAAAAATTAAGTCACTTAGTCATTCAAAAACATAAATGGAGCATTCCTTATCATACTAGAAACTAGGGAGGGGGGAAAAAATAATGATAGCTAGCATTTATATAGTACCTACTATATGTGAGACATAATTCTAAGCATTTTATAATTATTATCTTAAATCTTCACAACAATCTTAGGAAGTAGGTGCTATTATTATCCCCATTTACAGTTGAGGAAACTAAGGCAAAAATGGGTTAAGTGACTGGCCCAGGGTTACATAGCTAGGAAGTATCTGAGGCCAGATTTGACTTCAGGTCTAGGAGACAAAGTCTTTGCACTCTATATCCAATAGATTCATCAAAGACATAATTCTTATTCTTGGGGTAATCATCATAATGATGAGAAAGGATACGTACATATACATGACAGACTGAAGACAAGTTACCAAACATAAGATCAAGTGTAGACTGTGTAGCATTAGAGACATGTCAAAAAGAGACAATTAAGACATTATTTGAATGGAGTGGATAGGCATGCTAGGAATGAGCTTTCAAATATCACTTGGGGGAAAGGATTGTGTATTGTGGGAAGACATTCTGATTGTGGCAAATGGCTCGTGTAAAGGCAAGATTGTGAAATGATGACGTTGTTTGTGTAACAGAGAAGATGAATTTGGTTACAGCAAAAGAGGCAAGATGGGGAGCCAATATACAGAAGATGGAAATTTAGCACAGTACCTAGCACACAGTAGGATGCTTAATAAACGTTTACTGACTGACTGGAAGAGCCTTGGAACTGAGTATAGATTGCACATAATAGAGATGAGGAAATTCCTCATGGTCCCCAACAAAGAATAAACGTAATGGTAGGTTCTTCACTCTCATCTGTTCTAGGGTCACATTTCCTAGAGCTTCTAACCTGTGGCACTGTGGACTCCAGATTGTAGTGTTTATTCAAGAACCTCAGCAGCTTCTCTGAGGGTCGGTCAATAGCTAGCTGGTGTGGTTCAACTCGTTCCTTCTGCAGGATAAAAGAACTTCAGAGGATGGTACAGAACTGAAGAATAAATTTCGAGGGACATAGGGTTCACAGAAGCATTTGGGAGTTCACGAGGAGACAAGTGGTCTAAGAGATGGGGACAATAGCACAGGGGATTTTAATTTGTAATCTGAAAGCACTTTAAAATTAAAGCTAGTAGTCATACCTCTAACATATACCGGAAAAGTTTCAGCCCATGGCCATGGCGCTGCAGTGATTCATGGATATAAAAGTCCAGTATGCAAAGTGGCTCTACTTCATTATGAGCCCCACGATCATCCTGTTGGGAGGGGTGGATATGAGTTGAGAGAAGTGAGGAGGAATAAATGACTTTCAGGGCCTAGGCATCTCCTGCTTCACCCCACCCCCATCACCACCAGACTCAGAAACCGAAGCATACCATCCTGTAACTCACCAGAACAAAGAGTTTCTTATATCCAACTTTGAGAAAGCCAATAATAGCTCCTTTTCCAGCCCTGTGGGAAGGGGAGAGAGTGGGAGAACTCACAGCTTATCATGGAGAGGGAAGAAAATGAAAAAGAGGGAAAAGAAGGGGAAAGAAGGAAAAGGAAGATTATGTAGCTAGAAGGTATTAATAAAGAGAAAGAATAGAGAGACATAATGGGACAGCACACTGGAGTCCAGCACTCACGGACGGGCTGAGGTATCCTTGAGCACATACATAACATGCCGGTTACTCTGCATTCTTGAAGCACTGGTGATGGGACCAGGGAGATGCTGCGCCTAATAAGGTGGAAGAGTTTCAGTATGTCCTTCATCCCTTGGCCCCTTCAAAGCCTCTCAGGTCACTAGGGGATGGGGTCTACTGGCCCTCTTCCTGTCACCCTTCTTGGTCCCCATAATGAGATTTCTTTCCAGTACCTTAGCTGATGCCTTTCCCAGTTCATCGACAACAGTCATGATTTGCTGCTGGAGATCAACACTGCTGAGAGAGGAGAAACATAAGTCACTGAACCAGCCTGCATGTCCAGGGAATGGTCCTAGGGGAAGGGGGAGCTGACCTTAAATTCTAGATCTAGGTTTTCACCTTCAAGCATCTCTGCCTTAAGTCTCCTTCATTCCTGATTTTGCACTCTTGGACCTAAGTAACTGACTGCCCTCCCCATCCTTCCAGTCCTCATCCATAGCCTGGTGGAACTTGGGAATGAGGTGGATTGATGCCAAAGGGTTCAAAACCCTCTACCAGCCCAGGGTAATGAATGAGGCGGGGGTCAGATGGTATTCCCACCATGTAGATTAAAGAGCACACTCCACTTTGTAGTTGGAACCAAACAATGGACTGGAGAATGAAATGTTACAGAACCAAGCATCGCCCTAACTCTACACTTTGACTTGGGGTGGAGGGTCATGGGGAGAGGTTGGGGCAAATGTGAGTGAGGCAAGGAGGGGCGTGGTCGGCGGATGAGGGGTAAGAGGTCACCGAGCGGAGGTTGTGGTTCCGGTTCGGCGGGCCGGAGCACGGAGGTGTTGGTCCAGTATGGTAATCGGCTCCGGGAACAGGGCGTCCACATCGAACGGGAACTCCATGGCCCATTGTGCGCTCCCGGCCACGCCCCCTAAACGGCACTTCCGACCTAGAGTCCCGCCTCTTCCGGCTCCCTGCCCACTAGCCGAAGCCAGGGTGCGTAGCACCGGCTGCACCTCCTACTTCTTCCTTCCTCCAGCGTCATAGCAACCGGCCAGAGGGTTGTTTCCACAAAGCCAGCTGTGTGGCCAAGTGATCCCTTCTCCCTTCTCTCCCATGGTTAAAATACTCTAGTGCTCCTTCCCACGGCAGTCTTCCTTTCTGCTCAGAATTTGGGTAACCAAGTTATCCGATAGCCCCATGGTGCCCCATTTCCACCTTAAAAAAACCAACCAACCAATTTTTCTTACATATCCATATTCCGCTCTAACTGGAGAAATCAATCTCAGAACGATATTTGATCTGGACCTGTGATTTCATCAACGTAGAAAATCACCAATGCAGATCCACTCATATACAACTCACTCTAAAATCATGATGCATAAATAGTGAAACTCCACTGTCTCAACAACATTCCCTAACCCTCCCACCATATCCATTTTTAGGCAAATGTACAAGTATCTACCTCCTACAATCTAAAAACAGACACATGGTTAATAAGATAATTTTTATTATAAAGGGTTGACTTGACAAGTTAGGCACCCCCTACCCCTACAACTTAAAAATAAGGGGAGGGGGTGCAGCATAAAGAGAAATTGACCAAAAACACTTATTCAGGCATACTTCATTTTATCTTCTCCCTGTTTTCTCCTTTCCTCTATGTCAAGAGCTTGTCACTATCCTACCCATTTCTAAAAATGGTAGGGATAAGGATCAGTTCAGTTTAGGCATCAGGACTTTCTAACAGCCATCCCTTAAGCTTTGGAGCACCACAGAGAACATCTATCACTTCCTTTCTACTGGACCCTCCTGGATTCCTCTCCCTCAGTGAGAATATTAGTTTGAGATGGAACTATGGGCATCATCTCTGGTGGGGGTCCACTCTCTTCCTTAAGATGGCCTTGATATAGACGTCGAAGACGGGCCAGCTCTCTCTCAGGTGGCTGCTGCCAGTTGTACCATGGATACCAGGAGGTACCTGCAGCTAAGGCAGGAGCCACTGGGGTACTGCCCACAGCCCCATGGGAGTTGCTGAAATCAGTATCTCGTGGCTGTACCAGTGGGATGTGGTACCTGAGAAAACCTAGGGAGATGAAAAAGGAATAAAATAGAAGGCCTTGTAATTAAAGAAGGCAGTAAATGGGGTGTCATGAGGTAAGGGACAACTGAGAAATGAAAAGTGTGGAAGAAGTTAAGGTTGATTGATAAAGTTTAGGGAGAAAAGACAAGGCATTAATGAGACAGTGAAATGCTAACGTATAGAGAAAAGACAACAGGAAGAGAAAGGTCCATATCCCTTCTCAGACTTTCAGAATTTGAATTTCCTTATCCCTTACCACCCCAACACACTCCTCCCTCCAAGCCCAGGTCCTCTTCCCACTTCTAAAATAGCCTGTCCCCTTTCCGACCCTCACCATGGTCTCTGGCCTTCAGGATGGCCTCTGTCAGCTTCTTATGCTGCTTCATACAGACACCTTGTAAAAGGAGAAAATGAGAGAGGAAAAAAGAAAGAGAACACAGTTACCATAATATCAACTGCCATAATGTTGCCTCTGGGAATGGTATGGGGTGGCAGTGGGCTAGGACTTCAGGAAGGAGGATTCTTCTCACTGTACAGATTAGGAACTTAAGGCCAGAAAAGGTAACCAGTGGCAAGGGTAGATCCAAGTCTCACATCTAAACTGGAGTGAGGACACGTGGAAATAACCAATGTAGTGAAAAGAGGGAAAATTCTTGGAATTGAAGGTTAGGGAGGCCCCAGGTAAAGTGAGGTCTAGGGGAAAACTGTTCAAAGGAGAGGGAGCTATAAAGCAGAATATAGCAAGAGGCCAACACCTGCTCCTTCCCTCCTTTGAGGACCATTATCTGAATAACCACACTCCACAGTGTTCATAATTGTAACACCCTGATACTTGTTGGCTTGTTTGTACAATTCAAGTCAAGCATTAAATGCCATGTCTTCTGTAATAGATGTGGTGGATCAAATTTTAGGAAGTGCTCAAGGAACTATACAATTTAAAGAAATCCTATGATTCAAAGTTAAATATCTATCCCTTTGGATATCAATTATCCCTTCATTTACTTTTAGATATAGCTCTATTAACCAAAGTTGGGTTTACTCAAAACAAGGAACACATAACATTTTGTCCTTGTTCACATGCAAGTCTTGATACACATTTATGTGTAATCCTTTTTATCTTTGCTATTAGATTGGAAATTTTCCAAAGGCTGGAACCTACATCCTCTATGCTTTCTGTAAGTCTCTAAAAAAGCCTAAATGAGGAAGGAATTGTTCTTAGAGGAAGAAGGAGACCATAAGGGGAAAACCACACCCTAAGGGGTTGGGATCTAACCTGTGTATGGAGCATGGAAGATGACACCTGTGTAAGCACAGACAAACTGCTCCAAGAGCTTCACGTTCTGAAGAGAAAGAAATAGAAGGAAATGGGGATTGCAGTAATATCAGAAAAGGCAGCAAGAAATAGTGCTTCTTCCTTTTAGAATAGCATGCCCTTCCACATCCTATTCCAAACTTCCCAATCTCCTCCCATATTCAAGCCTCAACTCATCCATGAAGTCTCCCCTGAGTCTAAGATAACAGTGCTCTACCCATCTCTTGAGTACACCTAGTACCCAAAGCCTATTATCAAACACTGTTATGCCAAATTTAGCTCCTTTATATATGCCTCTATTGCAAAATTCTTTTATCCTTTCCTGTGGGCTGGAAAGATGAGACATGATTAATTAATCAAGAAATATTAAGTGCCTACTATGTGCAAGGCACTGGGAATACAAAGACAAAAAACAATCCTTGACCTCATGTAAGGAAGGACTTTAAGTTCAAGAAGACTTGAATTCTAGTCCAGATTCTATCACATGCTAGCCATGTGACCTTGAATAAGTCACTTATACCCACCCCACAGAAAATGAAATTCACAGTTTATCTGCTTTGTGTAGGGCTGTGGTTATGACTTATCTCTCTCCAATATGTGTGACACCTACCCAGTGGAAGTGTCCAGGCCCAGGCCTCCTAAAGTTGGGGGTGCTTCCAGGAGGAAGGATAACCACACTTAAACCTCAAGACCTGGAAATTCAAGCTCCCATAACTTGTCTCATGTAGCCTTATCCTGGCAAGCCCTTTGGCTCTTTCAAATAGATCTCTCATTTTCCCCAGGGAATAATGAAAGTTAGCTAATGCCCCAGAGCATATAAAAACATCCAGTGTTAGTGAGGAGAGCCACAGTCACTTTGCATGTTGTGAAATCCTAAGAATGATAAAGGCAATAAACATCCCAAATACTCATCTTTCTACCTTAACATCACTGAACAGTTGGAAGACAGCGAGGAATGCTTTGACCAAAGTTTTGTTTCCATTTCTCTTTTTATGCTGACAAAATACCAAATCTGAAAAGCCTACAACCTTGAAACTCACCCATTTACTAGGACTAGAAGAAATCTCATACTGAGTCCTTGTCATTGGTGGAGTGAATAGAGGTGAGATGAACCCTTGTAAGGGATTTTGGAAGAGTAAATTCATGTTTCAGGAAGGGACTGATTAAATGACTTCTAGAGTCACTAAAATTCTGTGATGTGATAATCTGGTATGTCTCCCTAGTTCTTAAAAGACAATTCTCCCTGGAGCAGCTACGGGGTGCAGTAGATAGAGCTCCAGCCTTGGAGTCAGGAGAACCCGAGTTCAATTCTGCCCTCAGACACTTGATACTAGCTGTGTGACCATGGGCAAGTCACTTAACCCCAACCTCCTCACCAAAAAAAAAAAAAAGACAATACTCCCAAGGCAGTTTCTCTTTCATCCTTCCTTTATATACTGCCCCCAACCTTCTATTGCCCCATTACTCACATTATTCAAGATTTCACTCTTATTCACATGCATCTAAATGAAGTTAGAGAAAAACCACAAAAGTGTGCTGACTTGGGTTTACTACAAATTTATGTTAAATAACATCAATTCAGCCCTCACCGCAACATGGCAATCCTTTTACAACTTCCTAATCAATTCACTATCCCAGTCACCACACTGGCCTTTCCCAAACATTTCCTCACACCTACTATGGCTTTTTTCCCCCCTATTCCCCCAATTTTATACTCTCAGTTGAGAACCTTTGCTCAAACCTCACTGAAAAAATGAGCCCCTTAGCCAAAAGTTCCTTCTTCTCTTCTCATCATCCTATCACTCAGAATGCCTTCCCCTACAATCTCCTCCTTCATCTATTCACTAGAAGAGGTGGCCTCTCTTTTTGCAAAGGCAAACCCTTCAGCCTACATAAATGATCTCAGTCTATCCCATCTTCTCTGGCAGAGTGCTTTTCTATTAATGCTCACCTTCTCACTAAATTTCAATATCTTCTTGTCTATCTGGCTGTTTTCCTGCTGCCTACAAAACATGCCCACATCTCCCCCATCTTCAAAAACTCTCCCTTCACACATCTATCCCTGATAGCTATCACCCTATATCGCTCCTCCCTTTTGTGGCTAAATTCCTAGAGAAGGCTGTTTACAACTGGTACTCCCTTTCCTCTCAACCTCTTCTTAATTCTCTACAGTTTGGCTTTCAACCTCATCATTCAACTGAAATTGCTCTCTCTGAAGTTATTAATAATCTCTTAATTGCCAAAATCAAATAGCCTTTTCTCAAACCTCATCCTTCTTGACCTCTGCAGCCTCTGATATGTTAATCAACAGTCAACAAATATTAAGCATCTATACTAGATGCTAAGTGCTGGGGATAAAACAAAACAAAACAAAAAACAGTTCTTGATCTCAGAAAGTAGAGGCAGGGATGATGAAGTAGTCGGGAAGTCCCAAAGTAGCACACCAAGTGAGAAATGAGATGTATGAGCTAATGTATGGTCTCTCCTTAAATGGAATCTAACCCTACCCTCCAATCAGAGAAGCCCAGAGTAGTCACAAGTACAGTATCAAGGCTGATGAGATCTTGCAGGATGATGAGGTTATCCTAGTAACAAGCTATCTGGGCCAGGGTGGAGAAGTCTGTTGTTCAGTCATGTCCAACTCTTTATGAGCCCATTTGGGGTTTTCTTGGCAAAGTTACTAGAGTGGTTTACCATTTCCTTCACCAGCTCATTTTACAGACTGGGGAAACTGAGGCAAACAAGGTTATGGGACTAGTTGGCAAAGTTAGGTATAGTACTGGACCTACAGAGTTCGAATCTGGCTCAGACACTTATTAGCTATGTGACTTTGGGCAAGTCTTAATCTTGTAATTTGTAAAATTAGCTGAAAAAGGAAACCACTCTAGTATCTTTGCCAAGAAGAGTTGGACTGAAACAACTCTCAACAACAACAACCAGGGTCACACAGCTAGTAAATGTCTGAAGCCAGATTTGAACTCACTAAGAGAAAGTTTTCTTGACTCTAGGCCTGGTGCTCTATCCATTGCCCCACCTAGCTGCCCCCCCAGAGAAGGCAGTGAGAAAAATCTTAAAGTGGCAACTAGGTGGGAAATGACCTTGATATTCTCTTCTCTTTAGGTTTTCATGACACTGCTCTCTTCTGGCTTTACTCCTACTTGTCTGACTACTACTTCTTAGTCTTCTTTGCTGGATACTCATCCAGGTTTTGCCTGCTAACCTTGGGTGTCCCTCCAAGGTTCTTTCCTGGGCCCACTTTCTCTTCTTCCTCTATGTACTTTTGCTTGATTTCATCAGTTCCCATGGATTCAATTATCATCTCTATGTAGATGATACTTCATGGCTCAATAAACTTCAGTAGCTCCCAATTACTTCTAGTATCACAGAATCATAAATCTAGAGCCGGAAAAACTTCAGAGGCCATACTAAGCCCCAGAAAGATGAAAAAATTTGCCCATGATAACACATATAGTGTCAGAGTAAAGACTGGACTTAGATCTTCTGACTCTATAATCATTGGTCTTTCCACTACATCTTGTTAGCCCCTGATAAAACACAACTACTCTATTTGGCATTCAAAGTCCTTTATGACCTGGCTGTATCCTACTTTTCTAGGCTTGCAAAGCTCCTATTACTCCCCTTCACAAACTCTTCAGTCTAACCAAGCTGGCTTCCTTGCTGTTTTTCCTGCAGAAAAGACTATCTCCAGGCCTTTGCACAGGCTGCCTCTCCATGTCTAGAATACAGTCCTTCCTCATATCCACATCACAAAATCCCCAGTTTCCTTCCACATTCAGCTCAAATACCACCCCCTACATGAAGCCTTTTCTGATTCTCTACTCCCTTCCTCAGGTGCTAGTGTCCCCATAATCATCTTGTATCCTAAGTTCCTACAATATAAGTACATTAACTCTTATTCATTGAAACATAGCATTTTAGAGGGGGAACATCTGAAATGGCTGCTGGATAAGACTGAGAAAAGATGTCAAGGTGGTTCCCTTACATCTACTCTCAATTAAAAGTTGGAAAATGTGGAGATTCAGTTTAATAAACATTTATTAAATACCTGACAATGCCTAAGTCATTGTGCTAGGTACTGGGAACATGAAAAGAAAATAAAGAAGTTCCTGCCTGCAAGGAGCTTATAAATCTTACTGAGACCTACAATATGCAAACAGACATATAACTACAATATAATTTGAATAATGAAGAGACCAATAACAACTAGGAGAATGAGAAAACGATTTCCACAGAACGTGGCATGTGACATGAAAGAAGCTAAAGATTCTATGAGGTAGAAGTGAAGAGGGAAGCATATTTCAGATATGGAGGACAGCAGAGTAGGCCATTTGTTGGAACACAGGGGTAATTATAGGTAAGCAAAAGAGAGTAATTCACAATACATCCAAAGGTGGGTTGGGCTTTAAATAGCAAGATGAGGATTTTGCATTTTATCCTGAAGCCACTGAAGATTCCTGAGGAGGGAAGATTTAGGAAGATTATTTTGGTACTTGTGTGAAGGATGAATTGGAGAGGATAAAGATGGAAGCAGGAAGACTATGGCACTCCTGCAACAGTCCAATCAAGAAGTCAGTAAGAACCAGAACTAGGCTTAGTGGCTCTAAGTGGCATGCTAGGAAGGGAATGGACACAAGAGATGTTGTGGAGATAACAATCAGAAAGACTTAGTAACAGATTAGATGTGGGGAGGGGTGGGGGAAAGGTGAAGGAAAGTAAAGTTGTTGAGGATAAATAGTACTGATGTTGCAAACCTGGGTGCCTAAAAGTGACTAAAAAGTGCCCTCAAAAAAAAAAAAGGAAAGAAAAAGAAAATTTGAATAAAACTCAGGTTTAGTAACAGAAATAATAAATTATAGTTTGGACATGTTAACTTGGTATGTTTATGAGTTATCTACATAAAGAAGTTCAATAGTGATGTGAACTAGAGTTTGGGAGAGAGTATAGATTTGGGAGTTACCTGAATATAAAGAGAAGAGAGCTCTGGACTAAGTGCTAGGGAGTACCCATGGTTATGTATAGAAAGAGGTGGATGACCAAATAGCAGAAAAGGATGAAGAAATTAAGAGAGTAGACTCAAAACCAAGAAAAGAAAGAGCTTCTAGGAGAAAAAAGGGTGGTTAAAAGGGTCAAAAGTTGGTATGTAGGTATTTCTCCATTTTATAGATAAAAAAAACTGAGATAGAGGCTAAATGATTTATCCAGGGTCACACGTAAGTGTCTGAGGCAGAATTCGATCTGAGGTCTTCCCGACTCTGAAGTCCTATGCCAGGGATGGGGAACCTGGGGCCTCAAGGTCACATGTGGCCCTCTAGGTCCTCAAGTATGGCCCTTTAACTGAATCCAAATTTCACAGAACATATCCCCTTAATAAAACAATTTGTTCTGTAAAACTTGGATTTGGTCAAAAGGCTGCACCCGAGGACCTAGAAGGCCACATGTGGCCTTGAGGTTGCAGATTCCCCACCCCTATACCTATGCTTTATCCACTGTGCCACCTAGCTGCCTGCAATGATGAGGTAAAAGGTACGAGTAGGGAGGCTGGCCTTGAAAGCTACCTCCTTTTTAGAAACTGGAGCAAAGGAGGAAAGAATAGGGGATAACTGTCAGTCATTTTGAGGTATAAAGGAAGGGGACTGCAAAAATATCATTACTTAAGCACAGTATATATACCCTAGTCCCTGAGGTGGGTAAAGAGTGCAATGAAACTTGAAGGTTCCTTACTCTAAAGTCCACATGGAGCTTCCGATCCCGGCAGATGGGGCAAGGATTCCCAGCAACTTTGTTTCCTCGCTGTAGGAGATAAAAGAAATGGGTAGAAACTTCTGGAATTAGCATCCATGCCTTTGTCAAGGTCCCTCCAATCCCACCTTGTTACCCCTGAATCTCTGTGCCAGAGACCCAATGCCTCTTCCTTACTACTCACAATGCATGTCTTACGGGTTCGCTGTGGTGGGACGCCACCTTTGTAGTTTCGTCGATAGTCAGCCCAGACTGGACGGGAGCCATATCGAGCTAGGTATTCTACAAAGGAAAGGAAAGGACAGGAATGAGAGGGGAGAGGAGGAAGAGAGATATAAGAATTTATTAAGTGCTTACTATGTGCCCAAAACTATGCGAAACACTTTACAAATATCTCATCTGATCTATAATAATTACTAGAAACTACTTTTAGGGCTCCACTCTACCTCTGCAAGCCTTAGTTCACGTGTATCCCTTTAGGTCCCCTTAGAACCTAAATCCCCTTAATAAAAGGATTTGTTCTGCAAAGTCTGGATTCAGTCAAAGAGCTGCACTCGAGGACCTAGAGACATGTGGCCTCAAAGCCACAGATTCTCTACCCCTGCTTTAGGTGCAAACTAAACCATCTCACAAAATTACCCCAGATATTTATGCCTTTGCTTATACTATTCTCTATGCCTGGAATGCCTTCTTTTCCCCTCCACCTGTTGAAATCCTATGCTATTCTTCAAGACCCAACTAAATTGCCACACCTTTGAAAAGCATTTCTTATATCCAATTTGGTGGTAATCTTTTCCTCCTTTCTCACCAGAGAATTTTTAAAAGTTCTTTTTTTTTGGACCTCTCTTCTAATACTAATCATTTTCAATTTTTTGTTTGTTTTAGTAATTTTCAAAGACTTATCCCCTGTCCTACTGTATTTTCCCTAGAGATAATCCCCTACCACATTTGCATTCCTTCACTAAATATTTAATAAACATCTATTTGGTAAGTGCTGGACATAAAAGTTCAACCAAAAAAAAACTGGTTTTCTTGCCCTCATGGAATTTATATTCTATAAGACTCAAAGACTAATAACTACAATATACAATTATATATAACAAGTATAACAGAGTCCCAAAACAAAATGTCACATAAGAAAGAGTTCAGGAAGGGCGTTACCAAGAGGAAGAACCAGGAAAGGGGAGGATGTATAGAAATTCAACATGTCCTAGGCATTACAGTTGCAGGGAATAGTGTATAAAAAAGTTGAGGTGAGTATAGTATAGTGCATGTGGAAGTTAAGAAGAGAAGTAACAGATAAGGCTGGAGAGATGGAGTATTGTTGGATTGTATAAAACTCAGTGCTTTGCATTTGGTTCAGTGTTCACTGAAGGACAATTAAGAAGGAGAACGAATTCTTATATTATCTGTTCTTCACTTTAGGTTCTGAATGGATTTTTCTGCCTTATTCTCCACATTTTCCCTTTTCTCTTCCCACACCTTTCTTATGGTGGTACCTTCTGTCTCCAGATATTCCCAGGGAGCATCCTGATAGGGGGAGACAGGAACGGAGGATTCTTCCTCAGGGAAAGCTTTGGTGCATAGTGCCCGAGGAGTAGCCTATGAAAAAGAAAAGGGGAAGGTTTAGGAGGGAAATTAGATATCTTGTTCTTCATCCCCCAACTCTTCCTCACGAATTTTTGAGGTTCTGTAAAGATGTCAAAACTGGTGTAGTGACGTATAGAAAGAATGTGTACAGAAATTAGACTTGATTTTAGCCCCAAAAGACTCAAAAACAATAAAATAATGTGAGCTGACAAATAGGGTGATTAAATTTTGGGACAGTAACTGTATACCGGGTGTTCCAAAAGTCTTAGTATAGTTTTCAGCAGGAGAGGAGAGGGGCATTCCTATTTTGTGTATTCTTCCCTTTAGGTTCCACCCACAGGATTTAATTAAGATTAATCAAATTATAAGATTAAGATAAGAGAAAGATTTAAGGATACAAGAAATCTATATACCTAGGAAAAAATTGATGTCAAAGGAAAAATAAAGTAAATTGGATAGATGTTTCAGGTGATGAGAGAAAGGAAAGGAAGGGATACCTAAGTTCCTAAGAGTTGGATAAAGTATCCAGGAAAAGGTTATCTTAGGATCACAGGATACTTCTGATACACACATGATCCCTATCTCAAATCTGTCTCTGAATCATTGGTCTCACCCTGCTTTATAAAAATCAGTCTCCCATTCCATAAGAGTGAGCAATCTGAGTCCCAAAGCTGGAATCAAAGACCTCAGCCCTGTAATTAACCCCATAATGACCTTAATCTCCACACCCCTGAGGCTAACTTGCCCCATTTCAGGGAAAAGCAACCGTGGGAAGCAGCCCTCCCCTTTTTATCCCAACTAAGGACCCTCAAGGTGGTGAGTAGTGAAGCCAGGGGATTCAAGAGATTTGGCCAGTGGGGACTTGGGGGAGGAATGTCTACAGGAGTTTTGGATAGTAGTCCTACAGGCTGTTGCCTTTAGGACAAAAGTATGCTAAGCTCTTCAGATCCTCCCTACATCCATAAGGGTGGAGAGATAAATACAGCTGTGTATCAGGAGGATCGTAAGCCCCACTCAAGATGTCAGAAGCATCAAGGACCACTCCTTGTATTCAATGGTTCACATACTGGATATACAAAGAGTTAGTTAAGCCTGTCTGTAATTGGATAGAAGGAGCCAGTTAACACTGGAGGAGTTCTCAAGAGCTAACTAGCTAGGTGGAGCAGGAATGGAATCCGATGGTCAGATCTCTTTTTCCTCGTCCTCCACTACCCATCACGTGAACACAGTGCTTGGGAAGAGAAAGAAATGGTGGGGGGGCTGCTACAGCAACGTGGAGAGAGCAGAGCTCCTCCTGGGCCACCATGGCAACGCAGCACACCCATTCCTCCTCCTTGCCTGTTGCCATGGGAACGTTTAAAGGTACTCAGTAAATATGGACAACCCTTAGGAACCATGTAGTACCCCTCGGCACGCGCCCCAAGACCAGGGACAAGACGCAACAGATTGGGTAGTGGGAATGCTGTAGCCAAAAGGATAGAGACAGGAAAGCGCTGGGCTTTCCCTTTCTCCCCGATCCTGGGAAGGAAGCTCTTTCCGGGCCGGGAGGGGAAGGGAAGGCGGCCAGTCGGAGCCAGCTAAAATCTGGGGCCGCGTGCTGCAAAGGGGGAAGTTAGCGGGAGAGAGGAAACTGCATAGGTACCTGCACCCAGTGGACACCTCTGACAGGTGTGAGGCCCGAGAGCCGCCTAAGCAGAAGCGTTAGAAGAGAGGTCGCCATCTTGGTGTACGGCGAACGGAGGAGAGGGGACCAGAAGAAGCTGCGCATGTCTGTAAGCAGGCTGGGCGGGGCTAATGTGAGAAACGCGCCTTGCCGGGACGTGGCCGTGCGCACATGCGTCGGTGCGTAGGGGCGAAGGTGACCAATTTTAACTGCGTCACAGTAGAATTCGCCTTCAAAATTACTATTCCTGTAGCCAGTTCGCTGTGGCTCCTAGACCCGCTACTGAATCTTTTGTTGCTGAACAATTTTGTGGTTGATTTTGGGCCCCGGTCCTACTACTGCGCATGCGCTGGGTCGGTTAGGCCAACCAAGGGTGAAGCTTAACGGCGAAGGGGTGGGGAAGGAAGATCAGGAAAGGAAGGGAGGGCGGGTCCCAACCAATCGTCTTAACCCTAGTCGCGAGTTGAGGGTTGCGTATGGAGAGTGGAAGAGTGAGTTGAGGGATAGGTGGAGTGTAGGTTGGCGGAGGACAGCCAATCACCTTGTTGTCCCTCCATGTCGTTGACCAATTAACTTGCGCCTCGAGCACAATGGCGCGAGGTGTCGGTATCTCGTGAGTGCGCTAGTGTGCGCGGGGCGGTGCCCTTATATAAAAGGCGTCGTCCGAGGGAGCTGCCGCCATTCTGGGGTTCGTTTAGAGGTGAGTACGGGTATTTTTTCGGTTGGTGTGTTGCGTGGCGGCTTAGTGCTAGAGTAGCGAAATGGCGGTGGGGTGACAGGGTAGTTTATTTTAGCTTTTCTTAGGTCTTGGAGACCGGAGGGTGCGTCTTGGGAAACTTTCTCAGGCTGTAAACGAGATGGAAAGGGATATTAAAGCCAGCAGTAATGACGTTTTCGTTTCCTCCCTTATTTTCCTCTTCCCAGGTTCGAATTTAATCGGAGGAAACAGCCCGGCCACGAGGAAAAAAGAAGCAGCCGTAACAGCATCTAAAGGATCCTTCGAGGGGGGGGGAGCAGCAGCTACCAACCCAACCACTTGTGTCTTCTCTGCCCCATCGCCCTATCTTGTTTCCCGTCCCCTATCCCAGCCCAAGCTGCTTGGGACTCAAATCTGTGGCTGAAGGACCATCACCACAAAATCTATCAAAAATAATCAACCACCCTTCCTCCAACTCCCAAGTCCCGTCAAATCCGCCCATCCAGCGTCTCCTTTTTGAATCCACTCAGTTTTTTTTTTGTTTCTAAGACCCCCTCCTTAAGTGGAAGGGGTAATGAATCCTGAGTTGGCTTTATTTTTTAAAAGACTTTTTGATCCAATGAGGTCCCCCAAGTAATTAAGCTTTGGGTCCTGGTTGGTTTTATTTTTTTCTCCAAATTTTAACCCCCCCTGAGCCCGAGGTGCTGACGTCGCAAAAAAATTGGATAGTAAGTGTCGAATTTTCAAAACCAGCATTACAACAAGAAATCAACGTTTCCCGTTGTGAAACAAAAAAAAAATGAGAGGAAGAAATGAGATCGTAGACAAAAAATAATTGAGCTGGAGAACGACCAATCCGGTCGCTTGAGTCTCCATTAAAAAAAACATTAGTTCTTTAAAAGTCTTGTTCTCTCTCCCCTACCACCTCCCTCTTCCTTGCCCTGGTGCAGGCACGGAGAGGGTGGGGGGGGCCGACAAGTGAGGATTTTCTTGATGGTTAACCCTTGGTAATCCAGCCAATTTTCCAGACTGCCAAAGCCATAAGAGTTCGATATCTTTTTATAAAGAGGAATGGGATCCCTTCCTCTGGATGCCAGCAGTCTTTCGGAAGGGTTAATGAGCTCACATACAAAAGACGTGGATCTTGTGGCCTAAAAGTCCCACTTCTTTGTGTGTGAGACAAGCAGGGGCGCCTTTCAATTGGCCAGATTAATGAGCAATCTGTACATAAAGATTGCAGGGTAAGGAGATGAGCCGAAAAATATTAGGAAATAGCTGGCTACGACTTAATGGTTAAATCCTCTCGTTATATTTTAATGTAATTTGCTTGAGGTATATATATATATATATTTGTGTGCTTTACATAGGTGGCAATCTACAAATAAAGATTGCGAGACACTTAAGCCAAAGTAAAATATAGTGCCAATACATCCAAAGTGTTAGTTGGGAAGGTAATGTCTTGTAATTGTTGCACTTTGCAGAGGTTTTTTTTTTTTTTAGAAGAAAAGTGGTTATAACCTTTAACTTGATTTTTTTAATGGGTGCAGTTATAGGGGGGTGGAAAGTGGGAGGGGGGCAATGTGGAATTAAGGCGTGTAATTTTTAAAGGCCATTTAGTGCAATTGAATGCTAGCTTTCTAAAAAATGTGTCGTTAAAAGGAATTTTTTTTTCTTCCCTGCTTCAATATGGCGACTTTTCCTTGTCCTTTTGTCTCTTCCGAGCGGCGTTGCAGGTTGTGTCTTTACCCATTTTTCTCCTGTCCTTTTCCCACCTTGACCTCCTTTGTTGGGAGGGGCCCAACTCCCCTCCCCCTTTATTTGTAGTATAGAAACTGGGGTGGGCTGTATTAGCAGTTTGAGCCCCCAACTGCAAATTCTTACTCTATCCCAGGCAGGAGAAACAACTTTTAAGTAACATTTTTAATTGCCTTTGTTTTTACCAAATCAAATGAAATTTAATAAGTTAAACACAATTGGGGGTGGGGTTTTTTGTTTGTTTTTTGCTTTTTTTTTAACAGGGGATGGGTTTTAATGGGCTGTTTGTACTGTAACCTTTACGGCAAACCGTAGATGTTTTTTTTCCCCTCCTTGAGTCTCTTCTCCATTGCAAGATGGCGTCCCTGCTTTGTTTTTCTCCTTCCTCTTCCCTCTTGCCAGTCAGAGCATAGGGCTGGCTTAGGACGTTAGTTAAGGGGGAGGAGCAAGCTGAAAAGGTGATGTAATCAGCTTTCCCTTCGCTCCCCTCCACCCTCCTGAAACTCCGCCCCCTGAGTTTTGCCTTTTGAGCCTTGATCAAACTTGGGAGGAGTGGAGCCTGGGACTTGAATACCTTCTTTATCTCTACATGTTTGATCGTAGTTTGTTTCTGTTCTTTTTCTTTCACAAAGCACCCCTTTTCTCCAACGAGCCAGTAGGAATTATTAAGTCTCTAGGGGTTGCTTCTCTTCTCTAGTGGGTATCTGTGGGTAGGTTTGAGGCTTAGCAACAGGACCAATTTTTCATCTGTAATATAATATCCTAGGAATCCCCTCACATATACACAATCTGGGAAACAGAATAAGTGGAATTTTCCCATTTCTTTCCCATTCTCTGAGCCCAAAGGATAGGAATAATCTGGCTGAGTTGACAGTCTTGAATAGGAAAGATTAAATAAATCTCTGGTCTAAATATGAATTTCCACAGCTAGTCCTTAGTCTAGGGACATTTTCACCTTTTGAAGGGTAAAAGGGTGGGTGCTGGAAGGCTTTCCTCTAAATTTCCCATCTTCCTCCTTCCCATCTTTTCTGGTTTTGGGGTAAACTCTTTTGTGTTCCGTGCTGTACCACCTCCAGTTGCTTAGCCTCCTGTACATTGGTACTAGGATGAGGAGTGAATCTTTAGGAAAAAGGCGGCAGTTGTAAACTCAAGGCAGGGGGAGTCAAGCTTCGTTTTCTGGTAAGCAAAAACTTTCTGGTATTACATTTCACAACCTTCATTTCTGTTTTCCAAGTAATCATTTTTTATCTTTTTTTTTTCTTTTTTTCTCCCGCCCAAACTTCTGGCTAGTAATGGAAACATAATGTTCTGTTCTCCATTTTCAACTCATGCAGTGCTGTAGCAACCAGTGCATGTCCAAGCCGTGGCAGTACTCAAGGCTGGTGTTTGTGTCCTGTCCTTTCCTTCCTCTTTTTTTCCCCAATTATCAAATATTTTCCAAAAATCTTTTACAAGTTTTAAGATCCCCAGGTTCATGGCAAAGTTCAAAGGCCTGAACTTGATCCCTTCCCCTGGCAAATTTTCTGCTGGATATGTAGTACCTACCTCTAAAGAATTACTTAGCACCTAGTTTGAGGAGGTCCAGAGATTTGTGCCCTGAGTTGGACCTGCCTACACTACCAGTTTTCCAGAGGTTTTAGTTTACCCCCAGTACTTTACATGGTGGAGAAATTATTGTGTCTCTGCCATATACCTGGGAATGTGAACATAATAACCCCCTTGAGTTTCTGAAATAGAATAGGGAAGTAATTTTTGGAGTCTCTCTGCAATGTGAAAGTTGAGGAATAAAGGAGTCTTAAGGAACCAACTTGGGAGCACCAGTCTACTAATTAGCTTGAGTTGTATCTTGGCACCTTTTCTGCCATATAAAGCCCATGATCCTGACATTTCTCTCTTAAAAGGCAAGCAAGACTGGAACCCCCCCATTACCAAAGTGCACCTGGTAGGAATACAAATGTAAAAGAGACACAGAATGCCGAAGTTTACTGCATGATGGTAGGCCACAATTCATATCTTTTCTCCTAGGAGCTATGTAATTCTAAGTTTCTCAGATGCCAGGGAAAGGCACAACTCAAAATGATTTCACTCCCAGAAAACAGGTGCCTTTAAGGTCCCTAGGGGGAAAGGAATGTTTATTGTAGTCCAGTAACAATGTAACTTATCCAGAAGTGCTGCAACAGAATATGGCTCATGATAAAACATGCCTTCATTCCCTGCCCCTCCCCCTCTTGTTGAAAGGAAGAAATGATTTGTATCTTTTGAGATGGGCAATTTTAAGAGGTCTTTGAGTTTTACATATGTTAACCCTGACACACTCAATCTACTCTTAGTAATGATGAGATTTAGAATTTAATTTTACTCAAGCCAGTTAATTGACAAGATTTTTCACTCTTTCATTAATGAAGCCAACAGAATTCTTGTAGGGGAAGGCCTTCTAGCCTGGATCCCTTGTGTACCCCGCAGCTACTCATTTCTGTATTAAAGCTACAGCTGAGGATAAAGCACCCAGATCAGTATAATGAGGATCTGGCAGCTAAAAGCTATAAGAAAGAAGCCTGGCTAAATTAAGAGCAAAGGCCCTGAGAGAGTAGGGAGTTGTTCATTGATTTTTGCTTTGTTTACTTCCTTGGTCAAGGACTCTATTATTCATGCTCATACTAAAAACTTG